TTCTAAAGCTGGCATGCAAAAAAAAAAAAAATACAGACAGGACTGATAAAGTAAACATTCAAACTAATAATAAAAAACAGGAAACTTCATAGCAATTATGTCTGGGGTTCCTCTGCTGGTAAACTGGATGACAAATATTCTGCAACTGTGAAACCTGAAGCAAAGCCTCCTGAGAGGATTTTAAAGGACAGAAAGTTTGTGTCATGAAAGGTGTTTCCTACGGGATGCAGATCCAAGCTGGTTTAATATTGTAAAAGTGGAAATGTACTGCAATCAACAACCTTGCAAGTCATACATTAAATTTTGAAGTTCTCTTAGAGGATCCATGAATTTGAGGAGATTCAATAAAGACAAAAAAAATTACAGGAAATAATAATATTTAAAAAGTTAAAATTACATGCAAAAGGAGTTACAAAGCATGCAGTGACTTGCAGAAGTATTCTCTGCCTTTGACTTTTTCACATTTTGTTACGTTATAACCTGTAATTGAAATGGATTAAATTTATATTGTTACTACTTCTTCTCGTTCATCCCAGAGTGCAGAACATGGAATAATGGGAAGCAGATTGTGGCTAAATAGCAGGAAAAATTTCCAGACTGTTAGAGCAGTATGACAATGGAACCCGTGACCTAGGCAGCTCGTGGGCTCTCCCACACTGGAGGCATTCAAGATGCAGCTGGGCAGCCATCTGAGAGGGATGGTTTAACTTGAAGCCCTGCACTGAGCAGGGGGTTGAACCCATGGCCTTCTGGCCCTTCCAACTCTACTATTCCATGCAATTCTATTCTTGATGTGAAGTAGATACTCCAAACTGTGGAAGTGTTGTACACTTTTATTATGGCATAAAAGTTAAGCAAATAAAAGTAAACTGGTACTTGCTGATCTGCATAACATTTACTTACCTAAATAAACTGGTGCAACCCCATGTCCCCACAAGTTAATGCAACTAGTTGAAAGGAGCCCAGCTCTGTGCAATCTGAGTGCAACATGACCTCAGATTAAGGTCCCAGAGTTTGCTGGACAGCATGTATAAACAAGCATCACCACTGAAGACCAAGGAGCTATCAAAATAACTCAAGGGTAAATTAGTACAGAAGCACCATGTTGAAGCTAAGCGGGTCTGGGGCTGGCCTGAGCATGGGGGGAAGACCACCAAGGAACCTTCCCAAGAGAAGGCCATCCACCAAAACTCAGTGACCAGGTCAGATGGGCATCGGTCAGAGAAGCAAGCAAGAGGCTGATGGTAATGTTGATGGAGCTAGAGCTTGGTGTTCCAACTGTGTTCTCCAGAACCCCAGGATTCTCTGAGAATCATCCAAGGGTTTACTCCTATGACTATAGTGAAATTGTAAGATTTACATTCTTTAATTTTGTTTAAGAGAGAGAAAGGTAAGGTCTTCATTCAATTTAATTCAGAGCCTTCACACACACACATTTTAAAAGCAGATTAATTTGCTTTACTGCCAAGGTGGTTTCATTCGAGTGGATTCAGATTGCAAAGAACAGCAATTGCACAGACGTAATACAGTAATAAGAATGATGAAGAGGCAGAAATGCACTTCTTACTGTCACCAATAACTCTAAATTTTTATTTTCTTTGGGGCAAAAAAACAAGCTCATCCAAAATGAAGCATAATTTTTCATACTATTTGTTAGTGAGGTTATACTAAAAATATAGTGTACATTCAGTAAATTTAGTATTGTGTATTTACTATGTATAAATGGCTTCTTTAATGCATTTATAAATCGTTTCTCTTAACACTGTATGGAATGTATAATTGCAACATCAATTGTAACATTTCATTCATGAAACCCATTTGAAAGGGTTCCACACTGGTGTTTCACATAGAGAAGGGCTCCTTGTGCCCCTCAACTTTGAAAACCACTGCACTAGAGCGACCAGAGATGGAAGAAGCTGTCCATGGAACAACTATTCCCTGGACACATCATGAAACTGGACATTACAGAAGAGAGGTGAGAAAAAAAGCCAGTGCTGAAATCAAAGCCCATTTGGAACATGCAAAAAGAGAAGAAGGAAACAGAGCAAATGTGAGAAGGGTGCTCTGATCTGGTGGGACCAAAACTTTTGCAGCTCTTTGAGGCTGTTTCAAAATGTTATGAGTGGTGCAAAGCCAGCAAGGTGCATTGCCCTGAAAGGACTGTCCCCAAAATGAAACATGGTGATTGCAGCATCATAATGTAGGGATGTTTGTCCTCAACCAGGACTAGGAGACTGTATGTATGTATTTATGTATGTATGTATGTATGTATGTATGTATGTATGTATGTATTTATTTAGAGAACTTCTATGCCGCCCCATTCGCTGAAGCCTCGGGGCAGCTCACAATCATAAATAAATAAACACAATATAGAACAGTATAATTTAAGTCGCCCTGGCCAAAGAATAAAATAAATAAATAGTATTAACAATTAAAATAACGTTTGAATAAAAAGGTCTTTGCCTGGCACCGAAAAACAAATAACGACGGCGCCAGGCAGACCTCTCTGGGGAGCGCATTCCATAAATTGGGTGCCACCACAGAGAAAGCCCTCCTCCGAGTACCTACCCTCCTAATATCCTTAACGGAGGATTCCCGGAGAAGGGCCTCTCCTGCAGATCTCAAGGGGTGGGTGGGCATATATGGACGTAAGCACTCCTTCAGGTTACCAGGACCCAAGCCATTAAGGGCTTTATAGGTCATAACCAACACCTGAATTGGGCCCGGACTTCAATGGGAAGCCAGTGAAGCTGACGGAGAACTGGAGACATGTGAACATAACGTCCAGTCCCTGTCAGCAGCCTGGCAGCTCTATTTTGAACCAATTGAAGTATCCGGACCGTCTTCAAGGGCAGCCCCACGTAGAGCGCGTTACAGAAGTCAAGGCGGGAAGTCACCAACACGTGTGTCACTGTCGCCAGGCAGTCATTCTCCAAGTAGGGGCGCAGCTGGTGGATCACCTGAAGCTGAAAGAAAGCGTTCCTCACCACCGCTGTCACCTGAGCTTCCAGTGAAAGCTCTGGGTCGAGGAGCACTCTCAAGCTGTGGACCTTGTCCCTAAGAGGGAGTGCAACCCCATTCAGGACTAAGTTCAATTCCCCTTCCCCGAAGCCCGATCCACCAACCAACAGGACCTCCGTCTTGTCTGGAATGAGTTTCAGTTTATTGGCCCTCATCCAGCCCATTAACTCGGCTGTAACATTACCTGTTAAGGATTGAAAACAAGTCGAATGGGGCTAAATACAAGGCAATTCTAGAGGAAAACCTGGAAGGGACCTCGGATTGGCCCAGGTGTTCATCTTCCAGCTGGATAATGACCCTAAACACGCTGGTTTTAGAACAAGAACCAGAACATCTTAGAATAATGCAGTCAAAGCATAGGTCTCAGTCTGATTCAAAATCTGTGGCAAGATTTGAAAGTTCACCAACAGTCCCCAGCCAACCTAACAGAGCTGAAACTGTTTTGCCAGGAGGAATGGGGAAACAGCGTAGGATCCAGATGTGCAAAGCTGACAATTACCCAAGATGACATGCGGCTGCCAAAGATGCTTCGGTAAAGAACCATTGTGTGGAGGAAGGGCTATTCATGGAATGAACCGGTGCCAATTTGTTTTTGTTTACTTAACTTTTGAGCCACAATAAAATATTCTGCACCTTCACAGTGTTGAGTATCTCGTGCACATCAAGAACAATGCCAATGAAACCCAGTTCGATTCTAGATTGCAACACAACAAAATGTGGAAAACTTAAGGGAAGAGGGTAAATGCAAGCACTTTTAACTTAAAACCTTCCCTTCTAACTGCTTCTCCAGAATAGCTTTTAAAGCATTTCCAGTCTCTCTCAATATTACTCATGTTCCACATGGCTTTATGTATCCACATACTAGTTTCTATATGTTTACTAAGTACATCTAGATCCCACACATGTATATGCCATTTTCTATCAGGGACTAACTGCATGTTAAACATGTAGCTTGCAGCAAACGTCAAGCTTTATTTTTAATGAAATTCAAGTCCAGGGAGGCCACATTCAGCTCAGGCTCACAGTATTCTCTGGTGGAAAAAAGGAAGAAAAAAATGGAGGAGAGAACAATCCTCCCAAAGTGAGAACTGAAACACTAAACAGCTTTCTTCCTTTCTATCACTGCTGGCAGAATCACACCCAGAAGGAAAAACTTTAAATTTTCCTCCCCATATGCTGTGGTCTTGATCTGCAGGCAGGCAGGGGAAAATCCACCCTTCCTTTAATTACAAGAGACAACACACTGAATGCCACATGTTGTTTCAGTCCTCAACCTTGACATTCGAGGGAGTTTCCCATGTCTGGCAGAGTACAACCTGATAACCACCATCTGATGAAAGGTGAATCATAGGTGAATCATTATGACACAGTTGCAAGAGGCCTAGAAGGCCATCAGGTCTAACCCCCTGCTCCACGCACACTGAAATCTTCCATCCAGATTCTAACCAGGTCTGACCCTGCTTAGCTTCCTGGATTAGACAGGATCAGGCACAGGTAAGGTTCCTTTTTCATTTGGGACTCTACCTCTGAAAAACTTAATAGGAACATCTTGGAAGCTATCATTAACCTTTCTTCTAGTATAGACCCCCTGACTCCCAACATCCCCGGCCATGCTGAGGATACTGGTATCTGTAGTCCAACACATCTGGAGGACATCAGGTTGGGAAAAAAATTAACAATGGTGGGCAAATATTGCCAATATTAACAGTTGAGGAGACCATCTTTTATTCTCCCAGGTTTCCAGCAAACACTCGAACCATTACTGAGTACTTCTGACCATTTCGGGGCAATTTGTACTGCTGGCATTGCACATTGTTCTTTTCAGAGAGGTGACACTCCAAGCAAGGAAGCTGGACTTCTATCAGCCAGATCATAATTGCACTAGAAAATAATGTCTCTGCTAACTTTAATTATGTTCACACCCACTTAACCCACCAGACTGAGGGCAAAGGTACCATTACACTTACAATGCCACTTACCTGAGAGAGAAGTTTGTTATCGTCCTCTAGCAGTTTGACTTTTGTTTCAAGTTGTCTGATGTAGTTGGAAGAAGAATCTTTAAAAGAGAAGGGTGGGGGGGAGAAAGAGATTAACCTTCCCAGGAGATGGTGCTTTAAAGTCAAGCAAGATTGCCCCACAATTAGACTAATGCTTCTCCCAGCTGAAAAGAAAGGTCAGGAGAAGAGCTCCAGAACAATGCCTGAAGGGGCAAAGAAGCCACTTCACAGTTTGAATCTATTAAAACAACAAAAGGTCCCAAAAGAAAAAGAGCACAAGAAAACCCAGAACCTGAAAAGGCCTCCCCGCAGCCCCGGAGGCTTCTGCCAGCATTAATAGTATTTTCAGAAACAAGGCAGAGAGGGAGAGAGAGAGAGAGAGAGAGAGATTTGGGTCCTCAATGGACCCATTTTTTAGCATTTCATCCTGAAAAGTGTAAGAAGACATTTGGCTCCCCTTCTGCAGACACATCTCCCTCTAAACCAGCATGTCATTCAGAATATTTATTTATTGCATTCTGTACTGCCCAATAGCCAAAGCTCTGTGTATATTCAGAACCCTGTAAGGGCACACACTGAAAAATAAAAGATGAGGAATGAACAAAGATGATTAACAATTACATTCTGTATCAATAGTACTTGAGAGGTCTAATAATAACAGCCCTCCCCACTACTGACACCACATGAAAGAGGTTTTTAGAAGCTTTTCATTTCACTTTCCTTTAAAAACAGCTTATCACATGTCTGAAGCAGGAATCCTGGATTATCACTACAATCAGCTTGAATGCAAGCCAACTTCAAACTATGCATTATGAAATTGGCCAGACACAGCAAATCATAATCATCAATAACCCACAATTCCTAATCAAGGTGATGCAAGAAGAGTTTAAGGGAAACCAAAAATGAAAACTCCCAGAATTCTTCTCCTGTCTTCACATGAAAAGGAGAGGAAAAAGGTGAGTCTGGAAGGAGAAGGCTGGGATGAACATGTCTGGACCAGGCCTCGGAGCTGGCATCACATCCATGGCACTAGTCTTGGGCTGTGAACTGAATCCAAGTCATGCACTCAATTCTGAAGTTCTCTTGGAGGATTCAGGCATTTTAGGAGATCCATTCTTCTAACATAGTTTATATTTTGCTTTATATATTTATATTGACCTTCAGAAAATATTCTTTAACTTTCCCGTGCTTAAATTCATACATTTTTGAGGGACTTTTACTGTGTTTTGTTATGGGCTGTCGCGTCATCTCCAACTTATTTGACCCTATGCATGAAAGCCCCCCAAATGCCCTGTACATGACAGCTGCAGTCAGCTCTTCCAAGCTGGAGGCCATGGCTTTTTTATGGATTCAATCCATCTCATATTCACTCTTCCTTTTAATTTTCTGCTTTAGACTTCCCCTAGCAGGACTGGCTTCTCCACTGAGTCTTGCCTTCTCATGATGTGTCTGAAGCATGACAGCCTCAGTTTTGTCTTTTATGATAATTGCCATGCATCCCATTTGGGGGACTTACATTGGAATAGATGTGGAAAAGATTGCACTGTTAATCCAACTACCTTAAAAAGGTAAGGGGAAAAGTATATACTCATGGGGAGAGAAAAACCCCTATTTAATTTCTGGAATCAGTGCCTTATGATAATTTTTTTAAAAAAGCATTTTCTATCCACATTTTCAGATGTACCAAAACATTCCTAGTTTCCAGTGAAGTGAAGAGCAGCTCAGCAACTCTGATAAACCCAGTAATGAAAAGTATAAAAGCCACACTCCATCAAATGAGAGCCTTGAGACTTAATCTCCATTTAAATGAAATTACATTTAGAGTCTTTACATTCTGGCCTCTGTAAGGCAACCCCAAGCAATTATCATAAAATTCAATTTCATGTAGGCAGAGTATGTCTGTGGAGGGAACAGGAGAACAAAGGTGAGTGAACCAGGTTGTTGGCTGCACGGGACCATTCAAATGGAAGCAAAATCCACCCAAGGCTGCCCTCAAGATTAATCTCCAACATGACAGATTAACTCTACAGACAGTTAACACCTCACTTTTGACTTTAAAATCCAAGGATCCCCACTAAATACTAGGACTGATACAAAAGTGAAGCTCTTGTTTGGTGAATTGTATTATAGAATTAGAAAATCACAGAGTTGGAAGAGGGCTAGAAGGTCACTGGGTCTAATCCACAGCTCAATGCAGAACTCAAGTCTCCCAAACTAGGTTCTAACCAGATCTGACTCTGCTTAGCTTCCAGAAGCACCCAGCTATATACTGTACAGAGTGACATGCACCCAAAATCTCTCTACAGGCATCTAAACCTGAAGATAAGTCACATCTGAGGAGAGAAGGGAAGCCGGCCCCTCTTGCCTTTTCTTCAACCTCTGCATGTGGGGGCCAGCTTCACGAAGAGAACCTCCACTATCCTTGGAGGTCTCAGCACAATTGAGGACACTGATACTTTGGCAGTCAAATGCACAGCTGAAAAGCAAAATAACAGTCACTTTAATCCCCACCTGGATAAGTTGGCCTCATTTTTGCTTGTGAGACAGGAATTAAATTCAATAAATCAGCTTCATTAGCAGCCTTATGGATATATGCAGATCTTAACACAGAATTATTTTACCTAGTAAAACGCATGATTCAACTTCAGTTTAATCCAACTTTCTTTTACTGATTTATTGTTGCCTATTACATTTTTAATCCATCCAATAAGCAATGTTCTCTGTGCCCATTAAGAGCATTTCCCTCCAAGATGACAAGCCGCCGCCGCCTCATTATTATTATGAGTAGTAGTAGTAGTAAGCCAAAGAGACAAATTGCAGTAGACATGTTTCACTTACATGTTCTGAAAGTCTCAACTACTGCTGTGGAACAAATAGCATTAACTTCCATGATACGGTCCAGCAATTATGAATCCATTTCTAAAAAAAACCAAATGAAACTGTTCTCTTCATCAATGCTAGATACTGGGTTTGCAGTACTCCTGGGCAAGATGCCCCCAGTAATTCTTCCTGAATAGCTCCCATTTTCCTTTTGCTAGTGTCTATTCGATTTTCTGTAGGCCCATCATGCACCAGCACATGGAGAAAGGAAGAGCTAGATTTTTCTTTGCTGTGCTCACTTTTGGCATGTGCAGAGTGAGCAAATGAACATCAAGAAGAAAGTGTGATGCCAAGGGGCCCGAGAAGTTGGCAAGTCTGCATGTGGTTCTCAACAAGCACTCAATTATATAAACTTCTGGTACTGGCCTCGCTCATCTTCCATATTGTACCAAAAATGGTAAATATGTTCAGACGTAATGTGTTTATATATTAAAGATGCAATGGTATGATCAACCAGACATTATGAGCCTGTATGAATGTAATTTGAACCCATAGGCAGTTGATTGCTGAATTGACTCAGGAACAGTGCCTGATGCAGTTGCGACTTCCTCCTCAGAAATTTCATAGGCTACTCTGTGATTGCAAATAAGCTTCACTATAAGCTGACCCTGGAGGTAGGATGAAAGGCTACACATCCCTTGCATATAATTTCTCCAACCAAGAGAACATATCCAGCACAGATTTTTTACTCAAGCTATAAATTTTGTTGCAAATCAACTCTCAAGTTATGCTGAAAACATTTATGGCAAATGCCACTTCATTTAATTGATCAGTGAGTTTTTTCAACAGCCATGCTTTAAATTTGTATAATGTGAGAGGAAAGCATGGAAGAACAGAATACAAATGTGTATGTGAAGAATAATTGGGAGAGAGATGCAGTTTCTTTCCTAGAAATTTGCAGAAACGTACTAAATTGCTTCTCATATTGACACACCTAAATATTATGTACAAATAAAAGCATAGGAAAGTGCCTACAGAAACATTTAGAGTTAACAAAGGGTGCAGTTAAAAGGACAACACAGAAATAGCATCACAAAATATCCTCAGAATAGTTCCATCTCTTCATGTAGCCTTCCTGCACAATATACCAGGGATGTAGAAATTCTTTAGTTCTGAGGGCCAAACTAATTTTGAGAAATCTCTCAGTGGCAGCCTTCCAAGAGTTAGTAGGGTGAAGGATTTAGGAGAATAGCCAAAATCAGAAAAGTTCTCAGCATGTCCGTAACTAAGCCTTAGGAAAGGCATCTCAACCTTTTGGAAAGGAGATAATGAGCAAAAACCAGGAAACAGCCAAACAATCCCTCATCAGGGCAAAGAAGGTAGGGCTAGGGAAAGAGGTGTGGTTACCTGGAGCAACAGATCTGGCTCACAGGCCTGATGCTCCAATAGCTCTGTATGCTCTGCTTTGACTACAGAAGATTTTGAGTAACAAGCAGGGCCATTCAGAAAGCAAAGTCACAACACAGGCCAGTGGTCAGGCACCAAGGACCACTAAGGGAGCAGACAAGCAGCAGTAGTCAAAGTACAAGCAGAAGTCACAAACGCAGTTGAGCAATGAGGAAGATGCACTATCCGGAAATAAGAACCGGAAAGTGGAGTTCCAAGGTCAGGAGCACTGAGCATCAATCATCAAGGTTTAAGAAGCAAAGCAGCAGACACTGAAGCAGAAGGGATGGTGCTGTTTTCAGCACCAAAGGAGCCAGCTCAGCCTCACCCGAGGCTCAGCTGTAGCCTGTCAGAGTCCCCTGACAGAACCCTCCTTCTGAGGAGTCACCTTCTCTTGGTGAAGTACTTCTGTAGCATATGAGCACTCCTCCTCACAGGAGTTCTCTTGGCCTGCTGCTTGAGGTGACGGCTTCTTGGAGTTTAGGAGCTGCTCTGTTCCTGCCTCTGAGACAAAGTCCCCTCCTCCAATCAGGACCGGGTCTGTAGCACTCTCTCTCAAGGGCCAAGGCTCCTCCTGGCTCTTTACTGTGGGTGCTTAATGGTTTTTGCCCCTGGTTCTTCCTCACAGTCCTCCAACAAAGTTATGGCACTGCATTCAAAGTGCTGTCCACCAATAATATGCTTTAAAAGAGAGCCTGGCTGCCCAGACTGCCTTTGAGCTAGTGGGAGGCATAGGAATCTAATAGCCAGATAATAAATAGATAGTCAGTCCTAGAGGAGATCAACCCTGACT